GATGGAACAATTCAGAAAAGTTCTCCAAGAGTGCTTTGTTTGATTTGATCTCTCTCTCTCTCTCTCTCGATGGAACAATGCAGAAAAAGTTTTGCAAGAGTTCTTTGTTTGCTTTGATGGACGGCTATAGGAGTAATAAATATGTTTAACCACAATATACATATAAGGAGAATAAAACTATTCTCCCAGTTTATTTTAATAAGCTGTTGACTTTTTGCTTTGTCATCCTGTGATTTCAATTTATTCTTCTTACTCTCCTCGATCATAAATGTTTCTTGGGCAACCTGGATAGCATTACCTAATTAGAGTCATGTTACTGAATCAAGAACCAAGGAAGCTAATCTTGCAAAATTTCCTACCATTATTAGGGTGGAAAAGGAACAAGCCATCCAAGTTGAAAGAGACAGAAAAAGACTGCTAAAAACAGTATCTAATTACACTGATGAGGTTTTAGAGCATGCCTTGAGCATTCAAAGAACATGTCGCCATTATTAGAAACAAAGATTAGCACAAACTTGACATGGTGTTGGACCGAACTTATTTAAAGGTGACTACGGCAGCCGAGTTCTGGCTTACTTAGGAGGAGGGAAGAAGATTTCATCAGAGGTCCTCTTGGATCTGAACAGCTTCTCCATCTCAGGGGTGGTATTGAATGCAGCCTGCAGCACTTCCGACGATATTGCCTTCCACACAGATGTCTTTCCGGCCAGATGAGTGAATACCGGGCTGCAAAATTCCACAAACAAAACATGCATCATCAAAAACAAGCCTAATTCCACACTGGAGCTGCTATTTGTTTGAAGAAAGTGTCGAAGGTGGAGCTCCAACTTACTTTGGAGTGGTGATGATGGAGAACCATTCCAGTCCATCAGCATCAGCAATCTTTGACACGACGAAGAACCTTGGCACGATGAACAGACAACCACCTTTCACAGTTGTCTCCAGGACGCGCTTGCCGTCGACACCAACAACCTGCACACGACCACTCCCTCTAACCACATAGGTCACCTGGTACGCAGAGTCGCAGGAGAATCCAGGGGAGCACATGGCATGGCCATTCAACCTCACAAGATCAGCACCAAGCCCAACCTCTCCTACCAGGGGAAGATTTTTGGTGTTCAGCACCACAACACAGCCCCCATTTTTGATGTCGACATCCAGAGGTGCCTCCAAGCAGTTGAGAACCATGCCCTCCCTGTCTTTGGCCGAAGGCTCAGGCATGGCTTGCCCGTCCTTCACCTTGACAATTCCAACAATGGTTTGGCTGTGGACGAGTTTCTTTGCCTCATCTTCAGTGAGGTCCCAGGCACGGCCAACGAACTCGGCGGTAAAACCAGTGAAGATTCCATTGCCACCAGTGATTGGAAAGTTGGTGAATTGACCGGCCTTGTGGCCCTTTGAAGTGTCTCCTAAGAAGAGTACCACGAGCTCGGTGTCACTGGGGTTGAACCACCAGGTCACTACTCCAAAGGGAAGGGCAATAGCATCACCCTTCTTGATTGCAATTACCTTCTCTTTTGTGGCCTCTGGGAGCACAATTCCACAAGTTCCACCACCTATGAACAAAAAGCAAAATGTGATGAAGGATCATAGTGGCCCTACTTATTCTGATGCATAACTGATCATAGATTCTTATCGAGAACTTGATGAGGAATTAGTGACAGAAACAGACTCCTTGAATGTTTATAGCTGACTGGACTACTAAAATTTCAATGGCAACATCAAGAATGCTACTATCATAATACAATTCATTCCACACAACAAAATTATTGCACTAAGGATTGTGAAAATATTGTCTTAGAACAGAACAATTTCGTATGTAAGCTACATTGTCTTAAGAGTCCATACAGCTTTACAGTTAAACATACAATCATACTCCATAGCATTTGCAAAGATATATATTTTGGTTACAATTGAAACAAACCCAAATGCAAACAGGCATGGCTACAATTCTGACCCTTCTTATCGCAAAAGAATCTAAACTTTTATCCATTATCAATAGATGAACATAAAAAAGGGATCACTGTAGCACTGGACATGTAGATTGATGCCAATACATCAAAATTTTCACTGATTGAAAAATAGTAGTAAAACAAAGTCAACAAAATCGCAAAGTACAGTATAACCTAATCAAACCAATACAAAGAACAGACTTTTCATGTAGATGCTTAGAATGTGTTCATCCCCATTATTGAAAAGCCAAATATGGAATTTGGATTGTGTCAAGGACAAGATAAATAAAATAGATTGTACCGAACCAATCAAAACAAAAAGAAGATTCGATCTTCTCATTCAAGGAGACCCTTAAATCATCCATAAAATCTAATTGCATCTCAACCAGCGGAGGTTACCATCTCGAAAATTTTTAAATCTATTTCTTTAAAGTTCAAAGTACGAGTAATTCTCAGTGTGCAGAGATTAATTTCAGCACGAGGATATACACAAATAGGATCCAAATCTCAAACGATTGCCAACATAAATCGTTCACCACAACACGCCACACCAACTGTTCCTATAAAACGAACGTCTAAAGATAAATCAGGGCAAAAATTTCGGGATCCGGTCACACAAATTCCATATATAGAAGTCTTAAAAAAAAAGCCATTTTTCGCAGAAATCTGACGTCGTAGCAAACAGATCGTAACCCTGAACGCAAAACCCCGATCACCACCAAAAAACACATGAACAAACAAGCATCAAGGAGGCCAAAAAGAAATAAAAATCGAATCTTTCTATGGTATACCTTGGAGGACGTAGGCGACCTTGGAGGAGTCGGAGTAGAAGGGGAGGGCCAAGCCACTCTTCTCCAGCGCGAGCTTCCCGGCGCCGATGCCGGCCGCGCGGAGCATCGGGAGATCGTCGCTGCACCACGCGTAGTACGCGCCCCCATCCCCGCCGTACGATTTCTTCGACAGCTTCGGCGTCAAGTCGATATCCATATCGCCCCACAAAAAAGACCGATCGTTGATGTGAGGGAAAGAAAGCAATAGAGCAGAGAAGACACCGAGAGAGAGAGAGAGAGGGGACAGGAAAAGGTGGTGAAGGGTGTTGCTACTTATAGATGAGATGAGAGGAGAGGAGAGGAGGAAGAGATGGGATAGGAAAAGGCAATTTGAACGGGTTTAATGCCGTGGGAATATCTTTTTCTGTTGTGTGAGGGTGCTAATGGGAATGATTTAATTTGTTGTAATCATCCATAAATTTAGTTTTAATTTTGGAGTCAAATATATATATATATAGTATTTATCCATCTAAATTAGTTGGCTAATCTTCATTTTTCATTTAATTATTAATTAAAATACTTATTTACTAAATATTTATTATGATAGTTATAATATTAAGAGGACTTTAGATTTTTATTTTTTTAATTTAAATTCGTCAATACTTTTTGTTTTCTGAATGAATTTTAGCTTTAACATCCTTAATTCAGTTGTTTTGATTTTTTTTTTTTTTGGCCAAAGTATATATATTTATATATATATATATATTTTTATTCATACATCATTGCAAACTCTACTAAATGAAAACTACATCATTGTCATTTTAATTATCTAAATAATAAATATCATTGTTGTGATATTAGGAGAATCTTATACCCATCTTAAATTAAGTTGGTCAATATTAATCATTCGTTAAAATCATTAACTTGAGTGTTTTTATGTATATAATGGGAGGAGTATTCTTAATTATAATTATAATTATAATTTTATATATATGCCATGTTTTGATGAGAGATTTATGTGGCTATATTTTGAATTAGAAATATAAATGGAAATATTTTGAATTAGAAATCTAAATTGTACGGAGATAAAAATTTTTCTTTACATTTTTTTCTTGTTTACCATTAATTATGTCATTTTCTTGGTTTATCTTCTGTATCAGAATAATTTAGAGATAAGCTTCTTTATGTGGGATGATTGATGAGGCAACCACAATTGAATGTGGGATGGGAAAGGAGCATAAATCAACAGTGGTAGGAGAAGATTTAAAGATGGAATCTAATTCCATGCCTTTTCTATCTACCCCACAAAACAAGTCCAAAGATAAATTACCCATAGATCAATACCATCTCTATATGTTATGATTTATCCATTCGAGGGTTGCACATAAAGCTTAATGATTAGCTACATTGTCAATGTTTGTTAATATAAATTTCCATGTAATTTTGATGAATTTGGAAGTAAATTCAAAGCTAATATTGCAGTGATGGTTTTTATGCGCTTGATTAAGCAGCACAATTACCACATTTTTTAGTTCATGCTTTAACCAATTTGTGTTTAATTAAATGGATAAACCCATACATTACAACATCTATTGATGAAAATTATGTAATTTTTTATGTTTATCATTCCAATTTCCGTGGACTATACATTTTTATTTCACCAAATCTAATATGTATGACATAATTCTCAGCCAATAAAATTAGAACAGATATGGGGTTTCACGTGTTGAAAATGACATGTTGTATCTCTTGCCAGCCTAACATGATAACTACACCACTATCATACTGCAACGATGACTCGATGTAGGCACGGAGGGACACTCGATCTCGCACTACAACTTCACTATTTATTATTGATAGTTGATTATTTCGTATAATAATCATTTCTTGAGTTATTAACTCACAAATGTTACTCAAAGTTATATTATTTTATATTATCTAAGTTATCTAAATTTATACTAATTTAAGTATGAGATGACCATTTATCTCGTGACATAAATTTTTTATATGATTAAGATTTTAATCTTCTCGATGTCTAACATATAATAAACCCGAAGGTTGAATTGAATCTAGGTTGAATTGAATTAGATTCGAGATACAAAAAATGTAGCTTATAGGTGCAACAAAAGAGATAAAATTATGTGATGGTATCAAAACTAAAAAAAATTTCTTTTAAATCTTAAACAAACCCTCATTTATTTATTATATCCTTCATTTTTTTTATTAGGTTGGAGATGAAAAATACATTTTATTATTGGTAGAACACTTTATGAATATTATTTTGTCATAAAAAGGTAATTATTTTAATTGCATACTCAAATAAAAAACTTGTTTTTTCCTTGTCATTTTTATAAAAATTAAAAAAATTATAACTTGGATTTTTCTCTTAATAATTTGGATTTATTTGAAATATTTATGTTTTTATGAGAATTTACTAAGACGCGTAATATATCTCGCGTATCATTTCAAATCCTTGTTTCTGGTATCCGACGCTGAACGTGCCCTCACGTCACCGCGTGTAGTGTGTGCGTAAGATGAGTATGTTCCTTTTAAGAATCGTCTTTATTCTTTGTCAGGCTTTTGGTCTCCTCCCGCCTTCTTCTGCCTCCACTCTGTCTTCCGCCGCACCACCCATCGCCACCCGCTCCGCCTCCCTCTCTCCTCCAGACCCCTACTCTCTTATCGTCTCCTTATTAAGTCCTTCTCCTTCTCCTCCTCCTGACCCGAACCCCCTCTCCGCCTTCGCGGTCTCATCAAGTCCACTTTCATCGCCTCCGCCGCCGCCCAATCCGACGAATCCTTCGAGGCCACCCCCCAGCGCGTTCTCGAGGAGCGCCTGGCCTCTCACCCCAACCAATTCCGTTCCCTCCACGCCCGCCCTCGTGGAGCTCAATATCAAGGCTGGGAGGCTCGTCGAGGCTATCGACATCGTCGGCCGGCTCATCGCCCTCGATGCGGCGAGAAGGAGCTCCCCCTACCGAAGTCCCACTTTCAGAGTTAAAAGACGCGACACGGGGACCGGGAAGCGAACGTTTGGACGAGGAGGGAGAGCTCGACGGCATCTTAAAGAGGGTTGAGGAAGCAATTGGGCTGTGCAAGAAGGCCAGGAGGAAGGAGGTTATGAAGTGAAGGCTGTGCAATTAGCCATGTCAAGGAGGAGCCGATGGATTTCCGGCCTTATCTCTGTTAGGGCATCATGTAAACTTTGTCGAGGAAGAAGGATGAGGCGTAGTCGTTCCGAAGGGCCAACCTTATGCACAGTATTGCGACGATAACATGATTGCAATGAAGGCTTTTGGGCAGATGGATGAATACAGAAGAAAGACTGCTCTTAAACATTGGAAAGGTTTGTCGGTAAGATATTTATATCAAGGAATTTAAATTACAAAGTAAAATGTCAGCCTTTGACAAATGCAAAGCATTCTATCTAGTCCTACTAATTCCTGTGTCGATCAGCAAGCTTCATTTTGAGAATTCACCGGTAAAATTGTGAGTTTTGTTGCATTGGATTGTCTGAAGATGGGTCTAAAGTTGCTGCTTTAATGCACATGGTAAGTATTCTTTTCCAGCTGCATAACTTTCACTGATATAGCAGTTCTTGTTAAGTGCATAGATTCATCTGTATTCAGTAATCATGTCTTCTTTCATGTTTGTTTTCACTCACTACCATAAGTGATTTTGGTAATATCATGTCCACCTTCATGTATCTGCCACTAATCTATCATCAAACATGACATTTTATCTTAGTGTCAATCACATACCAAATTTGTTGAAATAGGCTTTGAAAGATCAAGTAGGGAGCTCGAGACTTTTTCCACCAATTCGATTTATCACGATGACACTAATGTTAATATTTTTTCATTACTGAATCTTCTTATAGGACTTACTCATCATATTTCATCAGATCCAATTCGCCTTTTTAATTATGTTTCTTGGTGAACCCAACCTTTAGAGATATGTATGAATTTGATAATGTGCATTTGATAATAATTTTTGAGAGGCATCCTTTTGTTCTTTATCCAGTTCTTACTACATGTTATTTGCTATACCAACATGGAGAGCAGTAGATCACGCGACCGCTTCTGCATGGCTGCTTAGATGGGGAACTTAAGTGCCTAGATTCTCAAGTACTTTAGTAATTGATTAACAGTCATCACAAACTTTTATAATATTTCCTATTCCGCCTTCTCTTAAAGCATTTGCCAAGGTATTGGAAAGGTGCATTTGTGTTAGTACAGAAATTAGGATATTTGATATGAATGCAAATTAGAGAATTGTATGGGTGGAGTAATCTGCCACCTTGCTCATGTAATGTCATCTTTCAATAATTTTATGCAATTACTGCATCTTGCAAATGAATGTGAAAAACTCATTATTACAGGTGTTGAAAGATCTGCTCCAGTCTTTTCTTTTGGGGGGCAACTCATGGAAATGTCTCAAGGGAGAGCTGATGCTTGTAGCTCACTCTTCAATCTTTAATTTCCACACTGCTCATGAACTTTGCCGGAAATTTCTGTAAGCAGTATGCGGTCGCAATTTTACCCAAAGGTGGCAATCTTTGCACTTGATGCTTAAATTTTGAGTGAGTTGCCTTAACATGACAATTTTCCTGCTGCATGCTATAATACCTTTTTATTGTAGGCTGGAGTTTAATTCTACAAAAATGCTACCAGTGTGATGCTTGCTTTGTTCATCGAATCGACATAGACAAGTAGATATATACAAGGTCTATGAAATTGGTTCCTTTATTTCTTGTTGAGCATCAGCATCATGCTGACAAAGACAATATGTGCTTGGAAGAGACAATTAGCAAGGAAGGTCTATGAACTACACTTTTGTTTGTTGTAGTGGTTCAGCTACAATGTTGACTAAAGGTCTGTTTGTCAGTGTTGTACATATTAGACTATATCAATTGTTTTGTTTTTTCTTTGTTATTTTTTGTAAGGCAAAAGTTAATATTTTTGAAAAGGCTAATTGCTTGCTTTGTCCTTGCCCTTTTAACGGTGTGGCATGGGGGGTTGTTTGGTGAGATTTGTTGTTGATAGACGAGCTTATCATGAGAGAGTATTTTTAATCTACTTGTGGTGCATATTCTCTTTGTTTCATTAGGATGATTTTTTTTTTTCATATTTTTGTTTGTAGGGGTCTGATATCATTTACATTTCTTTGTGCATCCATATATCTTGGTCTTGTTATTCTATCTTGAGGTATACTTGTGTCAAATGCATTTTTTTGCACCGCTTGCCATCTGTCACTTGGCTTTTTTTTTTTTCCAAATTCTCTATATATGGTAAATTGACAATTCCTTTAGTTCTGCCTTCACCAATAACGAATTTTGCAAAGAGAACCATGCACGCATGTGAGAGATGGATACTTTTTGGATACATAGTGATTCGCAAGGAACCGATCTCTTCTTAATGTTTTTCAAAACACCTAGGTACGGATTGTAAATATGTATTCTCTTTCTTGGCATTTAGAACATCATATATTCTGCTAATATCAGAGTTATCTAAAAGGCTGTTTTGGGCTGCTTCTGCAGTATAGTAAATAAAGCAACGGAAAAGAGAAGTAGTTTATTTCTTCAGATTCCTGTGAGCCATAGGTATAGTGAAAATCTTTTATTTTCCTCTAGGTGAGGAAAGAACCTCAAGGAATCAGTCAAGTTTAGTAGAAAGTGTGAAGGAAATAAAATTAACAAAGTTATATGGTCTTGAAGGGTATGATCAAGATGCACAAAGTTGTAGGTTCTCTGCTATGCAGCGTGCAAATAAATGTTTATGCCTACCAAGGTTCGTATTACCATACCGTACCAGTATTTCGACCTGGGCTCGGTACCGGTACGGTATACCGAGCGGTACACTCAGGTGTGCCGAGTACTGTAGCACTGCTACAGTGCTACAGTGCACTCGGACCGGTAACAGACGGTCCGCGTACCGGCAACCGGTCGGACCAGTACGTACCGTCCATACCGGGTGGTACAGTTCGGTACTGCAGACCCTGATGCCTACCATCTAATGAAAGTCAAACACGAAGATGGCAACATCGAAAGATATGATTGCATATCATATAGTAGTTTTGGTGCTTGGTCTTTTTTTATTTCTTTGATGTGACATTCCAGTTTGATATCCCACAATTTTCATTCATAATTGTGTTTGCTATCTGACGGTGCTCTCTTTCCTACAACAGTTTTTGTTTAATTATTTTCAATATATTAATATAACACTGGATGATAGATAAAAGAAAGGACATGCTCAGCAGTTTTACCTAGTCAGAGAAGTGATCAATCATATGAATCAGCAGATCATTCTTTAAATGTGTACCTATATGATGTAATTTTATAATAGTGCTTGTGCTGTCTTCACTGAGGCTGCAAACAAATTGCAACTTTTTCTCTTTTTTGCTCATGTGATCTTGCAAGTGGGTGGGTGGAGATGCTATTGAATGTGTAACTAAGAGTAGAAAACTATTGAGTTTAGACATTGATATTGTTGGACCCAATGAGATCTTTTATTGTCTATCCTAACAAATTTGGTTCTGTATGCTGTGTGCCTTATCCGATCCTCATTGCTTGACAACCCAATTCTACTCACTATAACAATGACTTTCATCTCTATATTAGTTGAGTGACAGTCTATGGTATCTTGTTATCTTGTGTATGTGATGAGTTGATCGAAGCTCACATTTTGGTATCTTAGTGCATCGATCTATGAGTTCCACATTGTCTCAGCATCATCCCTTGCCGCTTGTACAATCAGTTTTTGGGATTCTTGCCAGGAGGTAATATAATGTTGAAGTTATACTGCTGCTATTCTCTTTTGCACAATGTTGCCGGCAGTTGCTTGGTTTCTTTAATTCATCTTGCCATGGATCATTCTCATGTTATTCAGTGACCTTCAAGATGGTTTGTTGGAGATTAAAAGCACTGATCCTTTTTCCTTTTTCTTTGTGTGTATTTTCTGTAGTTCAAGCTGTCAAACTTATTTGTTTTTATCAGTAATTAACTTATTGTCGTGTGCTTTCTCTTCCCAACTCGTGCAGGTTTCTTGAATTTGCGTAGATTGATCGTACTAATCGTATTGGATTACCATTGCATTCGCCGACTCGGGAGCTGTTAAGACCCAACTGCTCTGGAATATCCTTGTGTTATTATTTCAAGAGACCTAATTTTTCTTGTATACTACATGACAATTAATAATCTTCAAATCTCTGTACCACAATTAAATAATACTTCATGTAATAAATTCCTTGGTATCATGCTTGTAAATTGTAATTCTGGAAGCCGGATCCTGCACTTAATTCATGGTGTCTATAGCATAAAATAGACATGCAACATATCATGTCATATATACTTGAGCTTAATGGCGACCAGGCAAGGTGTGTATGAGGATGCCTTTACCGAAGAAGGCAATGAGCAATGACATTAGCAGCAGCTTCAGCAGGTATGAGAGAGGCCTCTCTACACTAAAAGATTGTTAATTTCTTTGCTACTTTTCATAATTTTACTTTTTGACTGCTAATTTGTTGCTACAGGTATGATTGCACAATGTGATGGCTGGCTGCAACTGTTACACAAGTCACCCCCGAAAGGTTCATAACCAGCAACATTAAGGGGAAGGATCCAATGTTGCACAAGTCATCCCTGAAAGGTACATAACGAGCTACAGATGGATGGATGGATGGATGTCTTTATTTGCATCACCCATGTAATAATGATGTTGATGTCCTCTTCTTCAATGTTGCCATCTCATAAGAGTAATGTATGGCACTGAGGAAAGATAAGACAACATACCACCATGAAAAAGGTTATGATCTGAGCCGTTCATTTTTCAGATACAAAAAACCTCTGCCGTGGTGCTGTGGAAAGCCTTCAATGTTTGTATTGCACGCAACTGCGTCTTCTTCTTCTTCTTCTTCCCCATTGTTGTCTTGTTGCTGCCTTTAAGTAGGTGTCCCCATGTGGGCGCGTGTTCTGGGATTTGCTTCTTGTCTCATCTCGATTGTAGACTGTATACGCAATCGTTTAGCCATCCTATTTTTTATTCTCTCTCTTTAGCAATCAGATCTTTAGCTGCTATATCGTTCACAACAATATATATATTTATATATCATTCTCTTCCTCTTAAGATAACTCTAAAGTGAGTCAATGAACTTTTTAAAAGAGATCATAATATACTTTCTGTCTACTAAGCTATCATCTATTGTTGTTGGTAGTGTGTTCGATTCACCCATCTGCATCACTACCTAACCTAAGCTATGTTAGACTCCCATGTGAACATTTCTTAGTAGCTCTTGGTTAAGACGCTTGTCCTTTAAACAAATGATCGATGATGAAGCATCACATGTCACATTAATGCCCGCAATGTTTGCTTGTCAAAGAGACGCACAAATTGGAATCATAAAGAATATATTCTCGACATGATTGATTGAGCCAACTTCTACTGATTTTGTTTTTTATGTTTATATAGAGACATCCGAATTCATTAATATTTTTATTATACAAATAATAAATTATAATTTATAATTTATGTAATTAAAACTTATTTTAATTTTATTAAAAACGATCATTAACCGATCACAGAATCCTAATAATTGGTGGAGAAATCGATGTTGACTCCCATGTGGGTGGTGGCGTTCATCGCAGCCCGTGATCGGAGGAGGAGGCCATGTTGCGTGCTCTTTCGATCGTCCATGTCATGACATCCTTCCTGCTCGTCAAGCTTCTACTAGTATTTATTTCATTTATATTTTGTCATGCATCGATCAATACAAAAATATCTCATACATTGCTAAGTAGATAACTCCGCGACGAGGCGACCACTCTTGTCTTCTCCGTCCCCCACCGCCGCTGCAGTACTGATACGAGCCACCGGCGAGCAGTAGCGGCCGGACGCACGTGTCCATCGCCTGCGTCCGCCGGCCGCCCCACTCACATGCCTCCGCTGACCACTGTCAGTTCTACCCCCCGTTCTTTTACCCACGTCAGTCACACGGTGAGACCGCTGCACGGTCCCATCGTTTCCCAGTTTTGGTACGGCCTCGTACTCGACTCGGTTGGTTCCATCGTCGGTGTGTGAGAGTCCGCATTATATACGATATTAAATTTGGACCCAAAAAGAAACCTCGAATCCCGTGGTTCGTGTTACGTGGACCCCGCTGCAGCAGGTCCGTAGTCGCGTAGCGTTTCCCCGCATACAATTTCGATGCGGTGCGTGATCGCACGTGCGACGCCTCCCTCTCGTTTTGAATTTTCAAAACCCAACAAAATAATAATAATAATTATTATTAATAAATATATAACATATAAAATAATAGAAAGCGGAGTGTGATTAGTACTACTCATCACTCGAACCCGACCTTTCCCTCTTCTCCTCCGCATCCTCCTCCCACCTCTTCTTGCCTCCTCCTTGTTTCTGAGATCTGTGGTTTCGATCACCGGCGTCTCCTGGCAGGAGTTACCGGTTCGTGGGGCTCCATCCATCCGCCGCTTTCGCATTCCACTTTCGTGGTTTTTGAGTTGCTTCCCTGACGCCTCTAATCTCCCCCGCGAGTTCTTGGACGTGAGAAATGTACAAGAGCGTCGGCAGGCCCCGCCGCTCGAAGGAGCCGCAGCTCGGCTCCGGCCGGCCCGCCGCTGCGACGTCGTCCCCCGGGGATGGTCCGCCTCTTTTCCCTCTTCTTGGGTTCAAATTTTGTTTCTTTTTTTCTCGACTAGTGTTTTCTTGAGCTGCTCGGAGCGTGGGATACTGTGGATTTCGAGGGTTCTTTGTTGTTGTTGTTTTCTTGAACCGTTCTCGGGACGCTTTGGCTGTTCTCGTTCCTCATCGTCTTCAAAACGATGCAACGAGGGCGTGCTGCTCTGTTTCCTTGTGTTTAGTCGGTTTGTTTCAAATAATAACAGTAAAAAATTCGTTCTTGTGAAGTTGTGATCACCGGACCAGGTCTTCCAAGTGGGTTCTATTCTAATCCGGATGGGAAATCGAGATCTTTTTTCTTTTATCTTCTTGTGCTTAGATAAATTGATGTGTTGTTTATTTCGTCTAAGTAAGAGAGACAAGCCAGCACTAGCCAGAGGCTCTTCCGGTGAAATGACTTTTGTTTGAACTATATGTTTCTAATGATCCGTTTTATGACCTCCATTTCTGCATAGTTCTTTATGGTCCATCTCAGTGAAGTGGACGGTGTGGGCGACGGTGTCCCCAAGTTTCTTCTTTTAAAGTCATACTATGAATGATTGCCGCATTGATTTAGGGCCTTAGTGTTTTTTTCTTTTTTTTCCTATTGTCATTCTTGAGTTCCGTAGGTTTTGGATCGAATGTGTGGATGATCTTTTGGTGGAAGATACTGGTCTCTCGAATGAGCTCCTGTTATTAGGTTAGCTCCTCTTTGGTCATTCTATAGGATGGGCAACTGTCCTTAGTCCTTACCCGTAGAGGTTGAGATGTACAACCTCCGTCACCTGATTCACCTAATGTAAGTTATCTAGAAAAGCTCAGTTGGATATGTAAATGAACTCGTTCTGGTTGTGCGAAAACCAACTCTGTCTTCAGGTATTGCTAAAGTCCAGTTTGTAAACGGCAAATCATACTAAATGATGCCTGGAAGTCAAGGATTAATTATGCTTACTAGAGTGGTAGCGCTTATGGCAATTTATTTCTTTAATTATGGATATGGTCATGTTTTCCATTGTTGTCTCTCAAATGCTGAAATCTATATTTCTTTTCTTCTTGATATATAATATCTATTTCACTGTCCCATGCATATGCTTTGAGTGTCTAAGCCTGTCAGGTATATGTGAAGTTGTGAACTGCAAGGAAGAAATGAAAAGCACTAAACCCAGGGGACAAAATGTGCAAATTTGTACTAGAAGAAGTAACATTTGGGACATTAGAAGTTATTTCGTAGTTTCTTCCATAATTGGATTTGACGTATTTGTGTTGGGATGTTAGTTTCTAGAATAGAGTTGAGTAGATGGTCTGTCATTATGAGCGGAGATAGGTGTAGCTGTGGAAATGCATGATAGAATTATCGGTCAAGGGAAATGCTTCACATTCTTTTCCTTCAAGTAGATGGTCTGCCTAAGAAATGCTTCACAGTCTTTTCCTTCAATTACCTGTTTTACATATACCCTGATGTTCCGTCTGATGTACATGTCCATACATATTTTCTTTACCAAAATTGAGTTAAAATAGCCACTCTTTTGCACATATCATTCACGTAAGTTACTCAAGGTGATGAAAATCATCTTGCTTGGATGTGAATTCTTGACATTGCATATAATTCGTGTTGATCTCCTCACAAGCACAAAAGTGCCTTATGGATGAATTTTCTTGGTTGTAGTTCATACCTTATGAATGACTCTTTTACAGAATGCATCTTTTGTTGCAGGTTTTGTTCAATCCAGAAGACGAATGGATACCTCAAGGATCACACGTGGTTCTTCTCATAAAAGTAACTCTTTCGCTGAAGAAAATTCTGTAAGTGTATTTTAAATCTGTAGGTTCCATGACATCCGAAAATTTCATGTATTTCAGTCATGAAGATGCATGTGAAATTTCCTGGTACCAACGAGATATTTGGGATGTTAAGAATTTACTATATCTGGTGTTTTGCTGAATGCTCCATAATCGTCAGCAAGAGTGAGATTCCCAGAAGATATCATTGTTATCCAAATCTATGCTGCTTGTGTTTTGGTTTTAGTGGCACTCGATACTCACTCAATTTTCTACTGAGCTTTTCTTAGTTTAGCTTTTTATTATTCTTCCAATTTTACAAAGCATCAACTGTTATTTTTTTAGCTTCTAAACGAGTTCACTATGCTAACTAACTCATTCATGGCATTTGAAGTTTGCCCTCGAGTTTGGACGATGCTCGTCTAAGGAAGCCATTATGAAGCCTATACAAACATTAATGGATGAAGATATGTCAAAAGAAATGGAAAGTAGGCATGCCTCTCCAAGTGTAATTGCGAAACTGATGGGTCTCAATACGCTCCCCTCGCCGCCTCCAGTAGCCCATAAAGAACTGAAAAATGTTGAAACTTATTTTCAGCCAGAATCATCTACTGGATTTCAGGGAAATTTTGTGCCACCAAAGGTGCATTCACACCACAAATGTATTAATGAGGATCAAGAATTCAAAGACATTTTTGAAGTGATGGAGACAGCAAAATTTAGGAAACATAAGAACCGATCAACCAGGAAGACGATGCTAAGTTCTAAAAGAAGTGAGACTGGCATGAATTTTGTAAGGCAAAAGTTCATGGATGTCAAGCGTCTTTCAACTGATGAAACACTTCAGAACTCTAAAGAGTTTGATGAT